TGGTTGTTTTTCTTGAACGGCCGGTCTGCAGAGTAGCAGCTGTCTTGTCGTACACCTGCAGCATTTGGTAACACTTTACTTGAAGGTATCTACATAAGGGTGACATGACACTGAGACATTGTTTGGGTTGTCTTGATTATGACAACTTGACATTAATTAAAGTGACATTACCAGAAGTTGTCTTTGTCATGACAAGTTGACATTAACAAGAAATGCACCTCTTTTTGTGTTTATGACAAGTTGACATAATGATTATTATTGTCATGACAAAGACATCTTCTGGTAATGTCACTCTGATTAATGTCAAGTTGTCATAATCAAGACAGCCCAAATAATGTCAACTTGTCATTACAAAAACCGAATGACACTTAATGACAGCAGTCATAGACGTTTATGACATGTACATAATGTTTATGACAGGTTCATGACAGTGTCATGTCATAGTTATGTAGATACCTTCAAGTAAAGTGTTACCCAGCATTCCCTCTACCTCCTGATGACAAAGTGAGCTCATACATGTAACCAGAACTACGTCACTTTAGTAATGTTGATATGTATGAAACGTACAAAAGTAACATATTTGTTTGCAGAAATGTGCAATGCTAACACTTTCTTCCGTCAACTGGGCTGTACCAGCTTCACTAACTAAATAAAACTGCTGGTTGTAGGTACAAGCTTGTGATTTTCATCAGTTTCCAGAGTTCTTGGTTTTTCAACACTGTAAATGCAACATGTTTTGAAGGTGTTACACATCAAAATGTCATAACTCTAGTAGGCAGGCGAGAGCCTCCACAGACCATCTGGATTATCAGCACCCCTCTGATTTAGGGCCAATCCCTTCACAGTAACATCAGGGAACAGATACATTAACCAAGCCATGCCTAAATCTTAACGCTTTCCCTCACAGATAGAGCTGATAGCTGATCAATAGTTGCCAGACTCAATCAATCAGTGCCCCTCCCACCCCAACCCCAACAACCTCTCCAGTCACTTCAAACCCAGCTGCCTCAGCTCCAGGGCAGATTTGTCCTCCAGTGTCTCTGTCATTTGTCTTTAGATTTCCCTTCCATCTGATAGCTCCAATGCTTTTCAAATGCCCTTTCCACATGTCCTTACCCCCTGTCAGTGATTTATACGTGTGTCTGGTCATCACTGAGGACGCTGCAAGTTCATGCTCATTTGCACAAAGTCATTTAGTCTCATACTCGTTTTTTTTCTTCACATAAGTTTAACAATTTGCCAGTGGGGGAGGAATGATCCCACATGAATCCGGAGTTGTTTCAGCATGCTTTGTTAAATTTTACTTTATTAAAAGAATTAGAGCAAGTTAATTAATTTGCAAATGTGATTTTTTTTTCACAGCCATGCAAAATTTGAAGAGGGATTTTAGACTCCATGCTTCATTAAAACAACTTTTTATTTGATGCAGCATAATTTGATTCAGTGCTTTTAGACCTTGTGAGATGCAGAGAATATTTCTCCTTCCCTCCTTCCTTCCTTGGCACTTCTTGGACTGTAGCTGTTTTTTATTTTGCTTTTTCATATTCCCATTTTACTCCCATCACTTCCCTCTACAGGCAATTCACAGATGCAGTGAACTGTGAAGGAAAAAATTTGTCCCCTCATTCTCAAACACATGTATGGCCATTTACACACACATACATACATGCATACTGTACAGACAAAAAGTCGTGATGCATCATGCATGAGGGGGCAGCGTCCTGCACACATCGATGTCATTACCATGCATTTAAAAACGCTTGTCATGGCTGCACTGAAAGCTGCAATGTCCCAACTTTTTTTTTTTAAAGCAGCAGCAGCAGTTCTGAATTATTGTAACACTGTTGATGTCTATCAAGGATGGCCTGGGTTTTTATGACAGTCATTTCCTACAGTTACAGTCCCTTAGTATCTCTTTACGTCCATCTTCATTTATGACATTTGGCAGACGTTCTCCGGCAGACCGACTCAAAATGTGCTCATTAAGACAACACTGCTGCTTATAAGTGCAAGAGAAGCTACACCACTCCTTCATAACATCTGCTCTGCTCTGTCTTTTACTGCTTTTAATTAAGTCATAGCAGTAACTCACAGGCTTGTGATCAAAGACCCCACAGTCATTGATCATCTATTTAAAAAGATCCACACATGTACACAGAAAATCAATCAATACATCTGTGCTGACTGCATTTTGGGTTCTGTTCTGTGGATGAAAGGTTAATATCTTTATCTACACACACAGTGCTGATTGGTGGATGATTGAACCCAGCATTCTGTGTACTTTTGGTAATAGCCAATACTTTATTGGCTGTCAGTTTGTACACCATCTGCTGACTGAACACACAAACTGCAATCTGACACAAGCTTGCCAAGTACAAAAAGGCAAAAGAACAACAACACAAGAAGCGTTTTTTTTTTTTTTTTTTGCTGCTGTCTAGCGAGGAAAAAATGTAAATGTGTTACACTAAATTTAAAACTGAAAAGCATTAAAGTTTCATCGCTTTAATGCCTCTACTTTACACTTTTATGCATATCTGCACACAGGTAGCATGTGTGTGTGTTTATATAAATGCACCTGTGCTTCCTTTTGCTCAGAGACTCTTTACTTTAACATGATTACAGCCAAACTCCACAGCAAGAACAGGCAGGATGCCAAATATACAAAGTAGCATTATAAAAAACCTATTATTTTTAATATGTGCTGAATTTTAATTTAATTATATAAGTAAAAGGATTGTGAGACGCACAGTAATGCACATTTAAATGTGCATAAATCATATATAGCGTCGACTAGACTCATGTTGTGAGAATCTGTTTCAAGAGAGACATATGGTGTGGATCATGAATAATTCCTTGTAAATCGGCTACCTGTTAGTATTTTATTTTAAATGTAATGTTCATTCATATAACTCACGGTGTCACTGTATGTCGTGCACAGACAGTTTGGATGCTATTAAGCACCTGTGCATGTAAAATAAAGCAGAGCCTCCTCCAGTAGCCGACAATATGAAGTGACACACACTGACTTAGCGGTTAACATGAGAGGAAAAAACTAATGAAGTGCAATCAGTGTCAGGATAAGGTTTACTGCCAAGTAGGTTTTCACTTACAAGGAATTTGCCTTGGTGTTTGGTGCCCACAATAACATATTAAGAGGAACTAAAAATCAAAGCAATATACCTCAAAAGTTGAGAATGTAAATACAGAATATAACAATTTTAAGAAAAACATGGAAAACTTACTTTGAAAATTGATATAGGCTAACAAATACTGTTTGTGCATGTCAAGATTGGCAAAAATCTTGATAAAGAGATGTGCAAATGTTCACAGTATAGGGCAAACTTGTCTCCTACTTGCCTAGATTTTTTTTTTTTTAAGATATTTTTTTGGGCATTTTTAGCCTTTATTTGATAGGACAGACAAGCGTGAAGGGAGGAGAGAGAGAGGGAGTGACATGCAGCAAAGGGCCACAGGCTGGATTCGAACCCAGGCCGCTGCGGCAACAGCCTTGTAAATGGGGCGCCTGCTCCACCACTAAGCCACCGACGCCCCGACTTGCCTAGATTTTTAAAAAATAATTTCTTGATCAAAGAAATAAAGGTATGTTAACCCTTTGAAACCTGAGCAAATTGGCTTGGTTTCTTTGTAAACATGGGAAGAAGGCAATGAGCAATGACAGAAGAAATGACCTTACCTTCTTACCAAGTTGGCCATATTTATTTACTTGTTTATTTGACAAGGACACAAGCATAAGACATTGCCTCATATGTAAAATACGAAGTAGATGCAACACACAGGTTTCTAGCCGTGGCTAATTTGCAACCCCTGTCCCTGCTAGGCTTTTAGAATTAAAACAGCAAGTGTAAGATTACTGAGCATGGAGCAATTCAATTCAATAATACAACACAGTATGTACAGTAAAATACACAAACAAACACATAATTAATTGCCTTTTTATTCTTAAGGCTTCCCATTGTGGTGCCATTGTGCTGTAGTTCTTGATAATAAAAAAAAAGGTCCTAAATATGATCTCTTTTTGTGAATGTGGAATATTCGCAATAGAATTAAATGCACAAACAAACACAAAACATCTTTCAAAACACATAAAAATGTCTTTATCCTATGATTAAATTGTTTGTCTGTTTTTTCTTCTTATATAATGTTGAACATCCACCCAAAATATTGTAGTATGCCACTGGTGTAAGGTCGTTATGATGGGCCCAAGTGGATGCGTAGATGACCCTTGTGATGGCCCTCATGCACGCTATTGTGCACATATTGTCTCGTAACATGGTCAGAGACTTAACATTGGATAACATCAACATACATATTACCCAGCAATCATCATTGCATATCTGTATCTGACAAAAAATACCAAAGAAAACAAGTAATTGAGAAATGATGAATTTAATTCAACAATTTTAATAGTCGATTTATAGAATGTTGATTTACAGTTATAGAATGAGCATATTATTTTGTATGAGATGCTGCTGACTGTTGTACAAATAAAGAAAAAAATAAACATGAGATGATTTTGCCTTTTTGAGGACATATATACCAAACGGCACTGTTTTTAATTTGATTAGTTCTTCTTTGAGCACAGGCATATTTTCAGGGTGACATTCACTCATGAGGGCCCATTCTCCATTCCAGAATATTGTTGGAGGGCCCACTCTCTCTTGGCCCTCCACCTTACAGGCCCCAGTGTCTATATTTACGCCCCTGGTAAGTTATAGGCCTCTAATTCTGTCCTCTAATTGACAGAAAGACTGCTGTCTGCATTGTAGCCCACATATGGTAGGCTACGTCGTATGTCAGATAGAGTTCAATATTTTTTGTAGTTGTATAAAAATCATAGTGTTAAATATCTAATTGAAAAACATCGTTAACATGGACGTCTATACAGTCAATGACTCCCGCTCGGTAGGTGGCAGCAGAGTGCAGTAGTCGGTTTGTTACAAAAACCCACGAAGAAGACGCAGAAGCGGAAGAGACGTGGCACATAAACAGAGAGAGGAAGGAAACAGCTAGCTGCAGCCAAGTTTTCCCGATGACAGCTTCTAGAGCCGCCTTCCATGTGAATTTGACACGGAAGCTTCAATGACAGTCGTTCAACATCACCTGAAAGCAACGGGGCTCCAATAAAGTCAGGTAACACGTAATTATGTATCATTTGCGTTGGAACTTCCTCAACTCTGCCAAGCTAGCTTGATTAGCTCGCTAACGTTTCCTCAACTGATAACTTACAGCTAAGGTAGCAGCTAATGTTAGCTTAGATAAATATTGGGACTGAGCTGACGAGACGTGTTCGTTTAGTTCGGTGTTTGAACAGTAAGTTACTGTCGAAAAAATGACTCATTATGTCCCGAAACGTGTACGATAAATTTTGTGAAGTTAGCCAAAACTACAACAATCGAGGTGCAGCTAGTTACAGTTGAATAACTACCGTTAACACTAACAGACAGTATGTCTGACAGTGTCTTTGATAACCAGTTAACTGTACAGCATGTTAAAGTAATAGACTGTCGGTGTCGATAATGTGGAGATGATGTAACTGTCAAAATTGCTGCTCTTACTGTATGACAACCTCATGTTGGGCTGCCCCATCCAGTACTTGTGACATGGCAGTAGGTTCAATTTTATAAAATCCATACGGTTTGCAGTTAGATAATCCATTAGATACCTCTTATATTAAAGTAAAATAGGAGCAGGAGAAGCTAATGTGATAATACAGGGTGACTAATGGGTGGGAATTCACTTAAGTAGCCACAAGACCACAAACAGGCGGAGGGGGTTTAACTGGAAAGTTAAGGTAAGGTGTTTTAGGACCCCTCAACTGATGTCCGGGTTTGTTGGAGTTTCCTCAGCTTAAATAATGATGCATAATCACAATATGGAGATCATAAACATTACCCTATCAACACAATGTAGTGTATGCAGGAGAGGCTGTGGAATAATTTACACATATTTCGGGGGATTGTGCAACACTGTAGGAGTGTTGGGAGAATATTGAAAGGGAGAAACCAGTCATTTTAGGTGTTGATTTAATTTTAATCCATAATATAATATGTTGGGATATTTACCTAGAGCAGGGGTTGGCAAGGCTTATTATCAAAAGAACCATTTTTGATAAGAAAAATCTGTCTGACTCTGGAGCCACATAACGATGATTACTAATGGTGTAAATGAGCATTCAACAGTATGTGTTACCACAAGATGGCTACTCTGCAGTGGGCTTTTTCTGATTTTTGGTACTTCAACTATGCAGCGTTTGCGGTGAAAGTTAACAAATTTGTCCTGGCACTATTCAATCCTCGATTTTCTCATTGTAAAGCTTTTACTTTTTTTGGATTTGGAATCCATAGGTGGCCTAGCTGGGACACTAAAGAGTCACCAACACTATTTGAGTGTCAGCAAAATGTAGAGGAAAAGGTGCCAGGTCGTACACGAATAAAATGTTAAGACATTTATTTTTTTCAATTTGCTGCATAGGCTACACAGTTTGACAGTTGGAGAATGTAAGAATTTCTTTAGGCCTACAACAGAGATAAATGAAAAAACAAACAAAAAAAGGTTTGTCATTGCAATTACATTTTTTGGTCTGTCAAAGCCACCAGGAGCCACTTGAGATTGGCTAAAGAGCATGGCTCCAGCGCGACAGGTCACAGTTCACCTATATCTCAGCATTTCATTCATTTCTGTGAGGAAAACTAAACTAAATTGTTGTTCTTGAAATTTGGATCATTGTTTTAGAATTAGTGTACAAAACTTTGGTTGAGAGTGCTTTAACTTTTCTCCTCCCTGCCTGGTAAGGTCATGTTAACTGTACATTCAAGAATAAATTCTCTAGGATTGTGACAATGGCAGGTAAAATAGTTGGCATGCCACAAAAACCCTTGACTCAACTCCTTACAAAAAGGACGAGGAAGAAAGTGAGGAGTATCTTGGCAGATAGCTCCCGTCCTCTCTTTAGCCAGTTAGAGCTCTTGAGCTCTGGGAGGCGCTGTAGAGTCCCTCTGGTAACTAAAAAAGTATTTAAGAAGTCCTTCATCCCAAGTGCCATCAGTATCCTTAACTCAACAAAGGGACTGATGAGTTTTAAACCACAGACAATGAGCTGATCTAATTTGTTAAGTATTGACTTTGTATGTTTATTTTACAGACTGTTTGTCTGCTTTTTACAATGTTGTCTTTTGTGTCTGGTGAGCCAAAGACAAATTTCTACCCCTGATGGACAATAAAGATTTATTCTATTCTGTTCTATGATATTCAAGATATAAACTTAAAATCTCTTAAAGGGCACAGTGAATTGATTAGTAATCGTAAATGTTGGATGAGCCTAGTTGCAGCTAATGTTACTGAAGATAAATGTTGTGACTGAGCTGACAAGACTTGTTATTTTTGTTCGGTGTAAAACATCGAGGTAGAGTAGAAAATATGACTCGTTATGACCTGAAATGTTTACGATAACTTGTGTGAAATTTGCCAACTCCACAACAGTCAAGGTGCAGCCAGTTACAGTTAGATAATTACAAATCCCACCAATAGATGGTATGAGTAGCATCCAGTGCTGAGTGCCATTAATAACCACTTAATTATGTGGCACGTTAACCTAATGGACAGTTGTCTAATGGACCAAGAGACTGAGACAGGTCTACATAACGAAAGAAATGTCATTAAACAAGATATTATTGCCTAGTTGTCAAGTGTTATGCCCAGCTTGTTTAAAAGTAATGCAAAGAAGGGAAGCAACCATTTACATAAGCAAGACATTTGTTAAAGATAATTCAACGTAAGCAAACTATGATTTATTAAGTCAGCAGTCAGTGGTGTAGCAAGGCTGTTGGGTGTGAGGAAAATGTGGATGTTAACCTAAACTACCTGTAGCATGAACCAAGGCTTAAATTCAACACAGTAATAACTAAACAAACCAAAATTGGGGAACTGAAAGGCAGTGATTGAGAAGCCATTTTAATATTAATCTCAGAAAATGTCAGTTAAATATGAGAAGCCTATCCACCTTATTCCTAGCCCCCATGATACTTTGCATGAATTATAGGTGCAACTTTCGGTGCTGAACTCAAACCAGCGATTTCCAACGGTAACAGTTTGTTTACAGTGCTCTATTCTTCTTTCCAAGAGCAATAGGCTCTGTGCACAGAGCCTATTGTGAAATAAAACATGGAACACACCATCTGTTAAAGCTTGAACAGGATTATGTGATCATACCTCTGCCATCTCTGACAGCCATCTCAAAGCATTGTTTTTTTTTTTTTCCTTTTCAACCGAGCACGCTAGTAATTAGTTTGCCTTGCTCTCATAAAATATTGTTAACTTGCCCTATTGTTAACATGGCCTGAGCTAGCTTAAGGTAAAATCTGCTCCTTCTAAAGATGATTTATGATTTCTGATGGCTTATTAAGAGACACTAACACATTCAGCAAACATTTAACATAATTCAGTATTAACTGTAGCTCCAAGTAAAATGAACTGTACTGACGCTGAGTGACGGACCTGTCAGTGTAGGTGTCATTCTCTTCTGCAGATTCTGATTTAATACTTTTTCACTATGTCTGTGAAACTCTTGTGGTTTTATTTCTCATATCAAAGGTACCTTTGGCAACAGGAGCAATCTCTTTTTGTTCTGGTCACATGTTCAACACACAGTTGCTGAAGACACGGACAGTGCAACAGGTACCAGAGCTCTGCAAGGACATTTAAAAAAATGCTAAGTTAACATTAGTTAAATATTTGTTAAAAAATAAATAAGTATTTGCTAAACTGAAGGCAAATTACTTTGGAAAAGAACCAGCGTTGACGGTTAGCCACCAAGAGTAGCCACTGGGACTAACCAGACAGTCTATGGGGCTAACTAGCTTACTGCTACTTCCACTATCTCAGTGGAAGTTGCGCCCAAAATCATGAAAAAAAATCAGTCAGGAAGAAAAGAAATCAACAAAACAAGAATGACTGTATTTGGCTAAACCAGCAAATGAACTACCTGACGAATATATACTTCATCACACTGATTGCCCAAGACAGAGATATGTACCTTGTTTTATATGACATGGCAAAGTGTCTGAAGATTGACACATTTATGTCAGTATCTTCAAACCACAATATGTAACATACATGTTGACATTATGATTATTTTCCTTTGCTCACGTTGAATATTTGTGATTATCTTTAATGTAAGTGGTTTGGCAGAAGAGTTGCACACATCGCACAACACTTTGAGGTTCAAACTCTTCTCATTACTTTGTAAGCGAGTCAGCTCATGACACTCAAAGTGGTCACACTCAAAAATATGCCAACGGCAATTGTGTCTGAGGAAATATTCTGGCTGTCAGGAAAAAAGAGATGAGATAAAGTCATGTCAGTCTTTGCCTCCGTTTTGTTGCTCTACTTTGTATTAAAGGGAACATTAGCCTAGGGATACATACATTCAGAGCAAACCTTTTAATGTCATTTTGCTAGACAATGAAAACACATTTGTCTTGCTTGTAGCTTCTGCTCATACTAAACAGCAGGAAGGTCTGTAATTTACAGAGAGAGGAGAACAAGGATCCTCTCTCTCAGTCTGTTGTATACATCCAAAACAAACCTGCATTTGTTTGTCTGTCCTCCACACAACACAGGTGGCTATGGGTCTCTGCAAGTGTCCAAAGAGAAAGGTGACCAATTTATTCTGCTTCGAACATCGTGTAAATGTGTGTGAGCATTGCCTGGTCTCCAACCACAACAAGGTCAGTGAGTGAACAAGTATCACCTGATGTATGTTTGTACAAAGCTTGTAACACCACATTAAAATTCTGCGTTTCCACTCGCTGCCCTTCAGTGTATCGTGCAGTCATATTTGCAATGGCTCCAGGACAGCGACTACAACCCCAACTGCACTCTGTGTAATACTCTGCTGAATGCTCAAGACACCGTCAGGCTAGTCTGCTACGGTAAGATTACAGAATTACACTGTTGTATCTATAAATGCGTAACATTGTAGGTCAATGGAATTTTGCTATTCAACAAAATGACATCCTGTCCTTTTTGCTTTGATGTGAATTCTTTCTTTTTCCACCACAGATGTGTTCCACTGGTCCTGTCTTAATAACTTGGCCTCTCGGCTGCCCCTCCATACGGCTCCAGCGGGATACCAGTGTCCCACCTGTCAGGGTCCAGTGTTCCCCCCTTCCAACCTTGCCAGCCCAATTGCTGATGTGCTGAAAGAACAGCTGTCGTCTGTTAACTGGGCCAGAGCTGGTTTAGGGCTGCCGCTGGTAAGGGCCTATTAATGTTACATCCCTTGTTTGGCGATAACAGAACAATTAGACAGTGCATTGTTTTGCTGGGAAACCTTTGAGTACCACTGATCAGATACCACCTGACATGTTCCACCCACTCAAGCATCATTGCAGACCAAGTACCCGCCCCTCATGGCAACAGTACTCCCCAGTGGCAGTGGCCTCCCAGCAGGATAATGCACCATGCCACACTGCAGACATCGCTCAGGAATGGCCCAAGGAATGTGACAGAGACCTCAAAGTGTCAACATGGCCTCCAAATTCCCCAGATCCCAATCTGAATGAGCATCTATGGCACGTACCGTAACTTCACCTAACAACCCACTGGACTAAATGGATCTGCCACTAACGCACTGGTGCCAGACACCACAGGACACCCAGAGATCCTGTGTCCATGCCGCAACAGGTCAGTCCGATCCAAGGAGGCCCCACTTGGATTAGGGGTACATCTGGGATATCGGCACATCACAAGAATCCTTGAGCAGAATGGGACCTGGGGAATTTAGAAGCCAGGTCGACACCTTGAGCTTTTTGTCACGCTCCACAGGCCATTTGTAAACAGTTTTTGTAGTGTGGCATGGTGCATTATCCTGCTGGGGGGCCACTGCCATTGGGGAGTACTGTTGCCATGAGGGGGGGGGGTACTTGGTCTGCAATGGTGTTTGAGTGGGTGGAACATGTCAGGTGGTATCCACATGAATGCCAGAACCAAAGGTTTCCCAGAAGAACAATGCATTGGACTGTGCTTCGTGTGCTCTGTGGTGTAGTTTTGATAAAGCAGACACAGCACAGGAAGTGGAACTGCTGCACTGACAAAAATAATTTAAGCGTCTTTTTTGTCAGCAAACAAGATAATTTCATGTTAAGTTGTTATTCTCTAAATTACATTTTAGTCTCATCTTGTTCGTTGACAGCCTTGCATTTTGATATACGTAGTCAAAGTTAGGGTTAAATGGTTTTGAGCCGTCTAGTCATCGTCTTGTCTTTGTCATGGACAAAAGGTAGTTGACGAACAGATATAGTAAGTTTTCAGTAATCAACTAAACCAACCCAATCGCTCAAAAAAATACACATTCGGAATTGTGCATTTTCTGATTGTATTTAACGCACAAATCATACAGATTTAATTTTCTAAGTTACTAATAAAATGTTACCTTTGACAGATTGAAGAGCCCATTGGGGGCCTTGAGGAGACCACAGCTCATGATGTCACTGATTACACCGACTGGTCAACATTTGATGGTGAGCCTTAATGTTTACTTTATAGTAATTAACAAGATGTGCATATTTATTAGGGGCTGTTTGTAGCTGTTTATTATGCAGTATTATTAAAGTAGTAAAATTAAACACTCTTTATTTCTTCCTTCAGCACAAGAACAAAGTAACATTTACCCCAGCCACTCTTACAACACCAGCCTCAGCCCTCCACCAAATTCTGTCTCACCTCCAGCACAGGAGGACCTCGGAGGTCCTCGTAAAAACGGGGATCCAAAACTGCAGGAGCACACTGTGGTTAACTTCACCAATGCCACTGCCTGTGACACAGTTACACTACACGCAGGTAAAGCAATGGAAAGTCCTCTGAATCTGCTCTCGCCAACTGCTTTTAAAGCCCTGCATGTCTTTCTTTAAGTGCCCTGAAATGTTTGAAATGATTTTAGGTCACCTTTTTTGCCCATCATTTAACATACTATGTTGCCTCTTGTGGTGAAAGATTAACAGAATTATTGCTGTTACTCCTCAGCATCGTCACCAAGAAAGATCTATGACACGCGGGACGGAGGTCACAGCTCTGTCACACAGATTGATTTTGATGACGACAAGTACCGGCGACGGCCAACGCTAAGTTGGTTTGCTCAAATTCTCAAGTTAGTATCCTGATTTTCTGTGTAACCAAAGCTGTCTTTTATTGTCACAAAGAATAAATCACAACAGATATAATTGTGATTCCTGATTTCTTGATCTTTTATCTTTCCAGAAATCGCACAGGAGGAAAGCGGACATCTCTGTCCTGGAAGCAGCGCGTCTTCATGCTTCTTCTGGTCGGAGTTCTTGGATTCTTTACGTTGATAATCATCATGGCTAAACTTGGGCGTGCCTCCGCTGGCTCTGACCCAAATTTAGATCCTCTTCTTAACCCCAACATCCGTGTGGGGAAAAACTGATTTAAAAAAAAGCATCGATTCCTTCTCTTCCTTCTGTGTTACACATGTAAGCACGTGTAGAACGAGCTGAAATGGGACTTTCTAATACACGGTTAGCCCAACAGAGGGAGCTGTTTACCCAACTTGAGTGGAGAATGGAGGCAATCTCTGGTCAGGTCAGTAGGAATATGCCAGGGCCCTTCACAGACCCTAAAACAAATCTCACGACATTCAGAAACTTTCCTGTGATTGATCCAAACAACCCGCAAACTCCAAAGGTGACCGAGGCCCGGGGCATGTAGACAAAGGATCAAGTTATTGTGGCTTTGAAAAGCTAACAATGAAAAGAGGTAGTATTTATATTTACGATTCCAGCTAACATTTATCAGTGATCTTTGTATTTTTTTTAAGTTAAGTAGAATCAATAGAAACACGGTTGATGTTGAAAGAACATCTTTAGCTGGCTGAATTGTCCAATAACTTCTACACGGTCATAAACTGATTCCACCTGCTGATTTAATTTGAGTGCGTTTCTCCTTTAGAGAAGATTTCGCCCTCACAAATGGGATCAAATATACCCCAACACTTTAATTAATACATAACATAACTATTTATGGGTGTCTGCATTACTTCTGAAATTGAGTGCATTGCTTTTAGATTTGCCATACATAACTGTATGTACATTTTCCTGATGTTTTTTGACTGTCTATTAAATGGGAATACTACACACTGTCAGTATTACAATGTTATTTAAAGTCCATCATCAATTATCTGCAGCTATGTACAGGCAAAATCAAGAGTGAAGAGTTTCTAACATGTCAGTCGTGTAGTGCAGCTTTGATGAGAATAATATATCATTGAATATATTTATTCATTATTATTTGAGTGCAGTAGCTCAAACTAAAATGTAATTCCACTGCCCAGTTCTCATAAAGCAGCTACTGGCTGCAAAAAACATATTAATGCTATCACAGACTGGTGATAATAACAGTCAAGAATATCTCACACACTAGATGCAGTGATGGGCTCTGTGTGTTCCACACTGTAAATTACTGCACTTCTTTTCAAAGCAACATTTGCACTCAAGTGACATTTATGAATAATTACTTAAATGAACAGAACTGGAGAAGAGACAGCAAGTAACCGCTCTCCTACTTGCTTTTATAACACCGGTATCTCACTATGGCAAGACACTGCATATATGTCTGGCTTCAAAATAAACAGACTTTCAAAGATAAAGCAGTTTGTACTTTTTATTTCAACAGGTGGCAGGTAAAATAAAGGTGTCAGATACATTTAGGTTGGACCACCTTTTTTTTCCCTTTTTTTTTTTTTAGGGTCCGAGCACCACGCCGGTGAGGGATCTATTGAAATACATTAAAATAAAATAAGTAATTATTTTATTTTAATGTAATTTAATGTAATTTAATTATTTTATTTTGAAGAAAATCGCCTTTTGGGGGGTTTTAACATACTCGAAAACGTGCCAATTTTTTGCGTGCACTTGCAGTGTAAATTTACATGTGATTTGGCTGTTGTTAGTGGGTGTGGCAAAATGGCTTGGCCACGCCCTTTAAAGAGCAGCCCCCGCAGCATGTTTCACTGACATGCACAAAAATCTGTACACACTTGTATCATGCCCAGATGCACAAAAAAGTCTTTTGGACCCATTGCCTAAGCACAACAGGAAGTAGGCCATTTTGAAGCCCGTGTGGTCATTTTTGGCGTTTCCCAGGTGTATTTTTACGAATTTCTCCTACACAGTGAATCAGATTGACTTCAAAATTGGTTTGTGAAAGCTTGGCTACATTGAGATCAAAAGTTATCACAGGATCTACCTCATGTTAAATGGAATGCCCCTGCAGAGAGTTGAAATTTGATGTCTAGCCATGAGACACGAAATTGCTACAGCTTTGGAGTAAATGGTCCGATCTCCATCAAACTTAACATGATTCATAATAGTCCCACCCTGAACACATCAATACGACAATATTCCGTGATACTCATAGCGCAACCTAGTGGCGACAGGAAGTACATCTTTTCAGACTTAACTTTTGATTTACCTGAAATGTACATGCTGTGGTCTGTATTTGATGCACAAAAACATGATGTGTCATTAGTGCACTCTCCAGCGCCCCATAGTGGATAGAGGAAATGGCACAAAATGTGAATTGGTCATTTCAAGGCCCACACTCTATGAAGGATATGCCATCTCACTCTGGCGTGTGGTGTCTGACTTCCAGCATCAAGAAAGCATACTAAACTCACATATCTATCAGGGTACTTAAACTGGGTAAGAAAATACATGGAAAGAAAAACCAAAAACCAAAGAGGTAGTGATTACAGAGGGTTCATGTGTGTCTTAGTGAGTTGTTGATCGACAGGATAAACTAGACAGCAGAAAGAAATATAGGAGTCCATCTCGAGATTCTTGGAACAGTAGATATTTTATGAATAGAATCCAGTATGACCTTCCACATTTGTTGCTCCTCATTATAAACTTCTTAAAGGTTAGATGTTGCTCCCTCCATAGAGATCATCTCCAGAAGTTCCTCTTTCAGCTGAACTGTGTCCTCCCTAACTGTTGCTATAAGTCTTTAAGCTGTCATGCATCCAGTGATTACGATTTGTGTATTGTGTTTTGACCACCTTCAAGTAACTTGGATGCATCATCACCTGATGAGAGGAGCTTCAGAATGACTTATTTCTTTATTACCAGGTGCTTGTTTGTTTTGTGAAAGGGCAGCTCAACCTGCAATTTAAAATCCTATTTGTTATAGTGGTGGGATTGCCAACACTGTAAAAAGATGCGGTAGTAAAATCCTGAATGCAAAGGGCAAAGTGCGATTAAAAAATATCTCTTATTTTTTAGAGGACAAATTAGACATAAGATACCATGTGCTGTACATCATGCCCTTTAAACTCTAAGAAAGAGCAGGCGGATCTGCAAATCCTGATGAATGCACTCACTAGCGCTCAGCCATGTCACCTCTCTACAAATATTTGCATATTACTCCCCCTGGTGGTGCATCCAGCTTTGGAGCTCCATAGATCTGCTCGGTGACAGGACAGAGACCAGAGTCAGATCTGTTTCCAGAACTATCTCTGCTCTTTCAGCTCCAGCGTGATTCTGTACTCTGCACTATACATGGCACCATTTAAAACATTTAAATTCTATCCATGTGGTTGACATTGGTATTGTTTTCCCTTTGCAAAGGTCAAAGTTATACGATTCACAAGACAAAATATGTCTGTTTCTAAATACAAACAGTCAAAATGTACAAAATGCTTACATGGTATTTTAAACTGCAATGTGACACAAAGATGTGGTAGATGTTGGTATCATGTATGACCTCATCAAATGTCAAGTATCTGCAAGGGGAGACTCTGACATTTATCTAAAGATCTCCTCTGCAGGTCAGCCAGTATGTATTTAACCACCATGTTGCTGTTTATCACAGTCTAATTTATTGTCATGGGGCATTTAATTTTCTATAGTTTTGAGCAAATATCATTGTGTGACCTTACAATGGCTATATGCTATGTTGTTTATTTATATGGCACATTTTAAAACAACCGGTTAGAACAATTACATACTTAAAAAGATTGTAAAATACTAAAATATTAAAGCCACTATGAACAACCAAAGGCCATTGAAACCATGTATGTTTTGTGACACATGGACCACTGGCATTTAAAGGAATACTTTACCCACAATATCACCATTTGTAAATCATTTAATCATACTGTGTTACCTTGAATTTGTCAAGAAAACTTGATTGTTCTCGAATGCCTCCACGTAAAATGGGTAACATATTGATTGGGGGCAGCTTTCAACAACAGCAAAACTCAATTCAATTTTATTTTATTTTATTTATAAAGCCCAATATCACAAATCACAATTTGCCTCTGAGGGCTTTACAGCATATGACAACCCTCTGTCCTTAGATGCTCTCAGTGGATAAGGAAAAACTCCCCCAAAAAACCTTTAATTGGGGGGGGGGGGGGGGGCTCTATATGAAAACATTGTTTACAAACTCTCAACAATCCTTGCAGTGTAATCCAAGTCTCATGTGCAGTCGTACACTCAGTACTTTCTAAACACATGCATGTTCACTAAAACCATGGATGGATGGATGGATGGATGGATGGATGATGAAAAGATGATAGCTGGATGGAGAGATGGATAGATGGAAAGATGATAGCTGGATGGATAATGCATGGATGATATATACATGGATGGATGACACATGAATGGATGATAGATGGATGGATGGATGGATAGATGGAAAGATGATGGATGGATGGATGGATGGATGGAGAGATGGATGGACAGATGGATGGGTGGATAGATGGATGGATGATATAGATAGATGATATATGGATGGACAGATGGATGGGTGGATAGATGGATGGATGATATAGATAGATGATATATGGATGGATGGATAGATGATAGATGGGTGGATGGATATAGATAGATGATATATGGATGGATGGATGGATGATAGATGGATGGGTGGATAGATGGATGGATGGATGGATGGATGGATATAGATAGATGATATATGGATAGATGGATGGATGGGTGGATAGATGGATGGATATAGATAGATGATATATGGATAGATGAATGGATGGATGAATAGATGATAGATGGATGGATAGATGGTGGATGGATGAATAGATGATAGATGGATGGATAGATGGTGGATGGATGAATAGATGGTAGATAGATCATAGATGGATGATAGATGGATGATGGATGGATAGATGGTGGATGGATGAATAGATGATAGATAGATGGTGGATGGATGAATAGATGATAGATGGATGGATAGATGGTAGATGGATGAATAGATGGTAGATAGATCATAGATGGATGATAGGTGGATGGATGATGGATAGATTGATGGATGGATGGATGATAGATGGCTAGATGGATAGATGCTGCTTACATTTGCTGTATGATGCACCACAGCAGTGGGTGGCTGCATGTTGCAGCCCTTCACCTGCAACAAACTTTATATTGTTAAGAAGTAGTGCATGTAGTGGTCATATTTCCCTCTCATATATTTAAAGTTACTTTATTGAAAGCTATAGCAAATAAATTGCATGTGAAAAATGCGTTCAGTAAATTATCCCACAGGAGATGGGTGTGTTACAGCATAGAGCGTGCTGCAATCATTATCGGTCCTTTGATGAGATCCTGCATGATGCAACTATGTCACATGCTGTCCTTGGGAATCCTCGTAATAACCCCCTACAAGCGTGAACGTCTGTGTTATAAATATTCACCGATACGTCACATGTTTGTGTGTGACTGTCAGTTGCCTCTTCTAACTTTCCATTGCGTTTATCAATGAGTGACAGCAGTGCAGCTCTGCCATTGATTGACAGTGGATCTGAGCCATATTACATTGATACAGGGAAAGCTGCCGGCGGCGATGAAGATCCATGATGCAAAATTACAACAGAAATGACACATCTGGCTCTTGTATACAAGCTGTGGTTTGTATTGTCTGATGTGCTTCTTGACATGAGAAAATGGTCTAAGTCATGAGTGGATTAATAAAACGTAACAAAGCCCTGTGATGTGTAATTGCGTTTGTCACTCTATTGGAGTTCAATGTATCTCTCAATTACTCTGAGATATTAGATTGCCCATTGCTCTGACATAATAGGGACATCCTGATCAATACCGTGACACTCTGTTGTTAACATGCGAACTGTGGGCAGCACAGTCTTTCTGTACCTCTGCTCTGTTCTCATGAGATGGAAGAATCATCTTTGTGACAAACTGCTGACATCCAGAGTGATTTCTTTTGGGGCCTTTTTCACAGCGAGCACTGACATATTCTGACGAGTGAAAGGGAATTTTGTGAATACTTAAAGCTTAAGTAGTGCAAGAGGAAAGTGGGTGACATCTGACACCCACCCACCACCATGCCTCCAGTTACACTGGCTCACTTCAACAGGAGAGTTTACCTCTGACATTTCTTCATCTGCTACCTTTGATGTGCAGCACTGAAGGGACCTTGGTACAAGTTGAAGAATGAATGCTGGAAGCCAGTGTTTTTTGGCTGGCACAGGCACTCAGATCCTCGACTTTAAAACATCTATAATGTGCTCAGGGCACCTCCAAATAATAATTAAAAAAAACTCATCATTGAGATATGTTGAGATATTATGGAAAGCCAAACTGCAAAAAAACAAAACAAAAAAAACAAAACAACAACTTTATAACATTCATTTTTGGCAGTTTGAGTGGTTTATTAAACAAAATCCTAAAATAAATATATTAAAATATTTGGCTTATTATCACTTTCAAGTCTTTCAAGATGTTCAAAAAGCCATTAAAAGAAAGTTAAAAAAGAACAGAAGTATGAGTAACAAGCACATGTGAATACAGGAAGGTTTACCCCAGGGTTCTGTGTTAGGTACGCTGCTATTTTCAATATATATTAATAGTCTTGGTCAAAATGTGGTTGGTGCCAATTTTCATTTTTATGCCGACGACACAGTAATATACTTATCTATCACAGAGGGTCTGGCCAAATTGCAAGCTGTCTTAAATCTTATCCAGATTCAGCTTTCACAACTAAAGATGGTTTTAATTGTTAAGAAAACTAAGGTTATGCATTTCTCAAATGCTAAGAAGTAGCCAGTGAACACTCCAGATGTTGCTCAGGGAAAGAAGTTAGAGGTCGTCAAGTCCTGCCTCTCCTTTGAGGTTAGAAAAAGACTGCTACATTTTTACTGGTTCTAGATTATGGTGATTTGATGTACATGAATGCATCGGCACATTGTTTGTACATATTAGATACTACGTATGATAGTGCACTGAGACTTGTTGAAAATTGTAAAGCCCTCACTCATCACTGTACGCTTTATTCCAGGGCTGGTTGGCCATCTTTGACCTGTAGTAGGCTCAGTCACTGGTTTTTGTTCATTTATAAAGCCATGTTAGGTGAACTCCCTTCGTACATTTGTACTTTGATTAAACAGAAATCTGACCAAAACTCAGTCTAAAATATCAAGGCTTCTATGTGCTTTGCTCCCTTCAATTGGAATAACCTTCAAAAAGAGTTGGAACTACATGATTTGGTTTCTCTGCCTGACTGTAAAGCTCTCATATGTACAAGGTTGAATGGATAGATTGGTTCTTGTCATTGTGCGTAGGTGTTTTTTTTTTTAATATCTGATATATGAAGAAAGGTTCTGTGGTACCCACAAGTCTCCCTTAAACTTGAGAAGGCCTTTTCACAGTAAATGCTTTGTACCTCACAATCAATGTACTCCTTTAAATTGAAGCTGTATATTCGTCTTTTTAAATCTATTTGAAGAACAATCAATCACCAAGCACATGATTATACAAATACATAACACATTCAAACGAGACTGTTGTGGAACTCAACACCTGTTGTGGTATTTACATATTTTTCAACAAGCCTATACACTTCAACAGCATAAACACATTGACTGATTTGTAGTTATGGCTTTTGGTTTTGGTGTGCCACCTCAAGATTTTCAGTGGCCCCATTTAGCTACAACAGTGAAAAAATTCTGGCGTTGTCACTGTATACAAACATACAGTGTGCACTGATCTTATGTTTGTTGTATGTAAAGTTTCACTGAATATGTATTCATTCATGCTGGTATCTTTAAAATATGTGCATAAGTCATCACACACAGAACAGCATACAGCAGAGTTTAATAGAGTACAACAACTGGTCGCTCTGTCATTGGATGGCACAGGAGTATATATTGATGTGTGGGTGTGTGCGGGTTTTACATGTGCTTCCCAGTTCAATTGGACGGTGGATCATTGGGAGAAAGTCAGTGTTTCACTGAACACCGCCTGTGTCATTCTGTGGCTTCTTTGAGGACGTAAGTACAGATGCTGGCTGCATGGTAGATTATTTCTGAATTAACTTCACTGTAGCTGCTTTCTCAATTTCACTGAGCTTGCTTTAGAAACTGACAACTTGTTTTATTATTATATGTTTCATAGTGTTGCATGCAACTCATAACACAAGGATTAATTTTACACAGAGAAGTCTGTATTTGACTTTTTTACATTTGCCTTTACATTGCATGTAGCACTACATGTGTTTCAAAAATAGATTTTTTTTTTAATACTTCCGTACAGTTTAGAAATGATGTACATACACCTGATAATCAGTCATGTTACCTCTGTAGTAAGCGAGTATAGTTTTCAACCCAGTCACCAGAAGGCAATGTTGGTTTCTGCGAACCACAGATATGTTACTTTTGTACATTTCATATGTATCATATAAATGTTTCTAAAGTGATGTAGCATATGAGCTGACCTTGTCATTGGGAAATGGAGGGGATGGTGTGATGCTTAGTGATGGTGAGACAACTGTTTGAGATTAACAGTGACTTCAGTGAGTCTTCCAGCAGCATTTTATCACCCAAACGTGAGTGTTTTTCAGCGATCAGTGGCTGTGTTTCCAAAGGATATAGTGCCACAATTTTTTTGTCTTTTAACCGAGTCATTGCTGCTTTTCCTGCTGCAATAGTTCCCAAAAAGCGGTTGTTTTTTATCATGACATTGATGCATTTCTAGTCGGGATAGTGCCATCAAAGGCTTTTATTTCTTAACAGAGATAGCACTGCATTTCCTTTTACGATGGTGCAGCAAAAAACGGTTGTGTTTTATGGAGACATCGCTGTGTTTCCTGCTGGGATAGTGCCACCAAAAGTATTTTAAGCCAAAATCTTTTCCTAACCATAACTAAGTGGTTTTATGTGAACCACAGTGTTGTTGAAATGGAAAGTTGTAACGTATCTGCCCCATAATAACGTATAAGCGTAACGTATCCATGGTTTGCAGAAACATAATACCAACATTCATTCTGGTGATTGGGTTGATAGTTTTATGAAGTAGTACTGTATTGGTATCTATCAATCATACATTTTGTAATCATTATCTTTTCCTACTTTACTGCAATAATAGTATGAATTAAAATTCAAATATTACCATGTGTCTATTTCTGTAAAGTGGATAGGAAAATAATTGTCACTGCAGACTGAATTATGCAACTTTTCCCCAGGGATTGATATCGTGCCAGTTGATGGAGAAATATTTCAGACCTTTACGTACTCATCAGGACACCAAAGGCGTCAAAGGTCATAAGCCTGAAATGTGTGACCATCAAGAGAAAGACCGCAAGCATGGAAAGAATGCAAACTCAAAAATTCCACAGATGAAGCACCATCACCAGAATCAAGGCCATCATCATCGGCAAAAGTCACATCAGTCAGATGATAATGACAGCCATGAGTAATTATGGATTTCTTATCTACTGTTTCTTGCCTGTCCTCATGTATAGAATATGTGCTTCTCTTTTTATTTTAATTTTTATATGATAATGATGAAAGTGGCAGAGATCTGTGTCCTTCTGTGTTTGTTTGTTATGAGAGTTTTGATTCATAAATTTGCTCTGTTATTACAAAAAATAATTATCATTATCATTAGCTTGTCTCAGTCTTATATTGGTTTCCAGTGTGTCTATAATAATTTTACTTTCTTTCTGAAATAGCACCCATTCCACAGCGGACGACAGCCTTTTCAGTGATCTTCCCTCCGGCCATCAGCATCAGCATGATGAAGACAAGACTCATCATCCTCACTCTCACCATTACCATCGCAAACAAAACCATCGCCACGTTTCTCTCTCAGAAGCTCCCTCGAGTTCCTCAACTGCTTCCTCTTCATCCTCCTCTTCTTCTCATTCTACTTCATCCTCATCAGTATCCTCCTCCTCCTCCTCCTCCTCCCCCTCTTCTTCCTCTTCCTCCTCCTCCTCATCTTCATTTTCTTCCTCCTCTTCAACATCTTCCTCTAGCCTGTCCTCAAACTCCAGCAGTGACTGTTCAGATAGACATCCCCTTAAGAAGGCTCAGCATTCGCAGTCCTGTACTGACATTTCTGGGAAACACAAGCACTTTGAGGAGGAAGACGACACGGTCCCTTTGATAGATAAAAGAGGTTATCAAAACAGGCTCTCTGCTAAACAGAAACAGGAGAAAGGTAAGTCCTCTCACAGCGGCCCCACCAAGGGAACCAAGAACCGGGCTACAAGAGGCTCAGGATATGATGGAAGTGTCCGCAAAAGCAAATCAATGGAGGCTCTCACTGGACCCAAAGAAAAAGACTGGCATGAAAATGAAGATGAAAATGAACAGGAGAGGAGAAAAAGTGAAGCCAAGAAGAATTTAATGAAGGAGAAAATGAAGTTCTCTGCCTTCCTTAATGAGATCACTCGGCAGGTGCTCAGCCCGATGAGACTCACCACTCTTGGGGTTACAGATGCTCAAAGACCCTGCAGTCCAGGGCAAGCCTCTGTTCGATCCAGTAAGGGAGACAGCAGCACTGAGAAACACAGTCAGCCGAGGAGTCGGCACGACACTGCAGAATCAGTTTGCTCCAGCAAGTACTCTCATACCAGCAAGGACTCTTCTCAGCCTTCTCACTCTAAATCTTCTCACCAGCGTCAACGTCACCGTTCTACAGGCTCACCCCATCGCACGGGTCACAGAAGCTGCACCGATGTTCGTTGTTTGAAAAGAAGTCAATCATGGTCTCAAGCCTCTCAGCATCGCTCCCATTCGCCCTCTTACGAGCACAACCACCATCGTCACCAAGGAGACGATCATGCTTCTAGTCATCATCATCTCCATGGTGATCGCAACAGCCCATGTTATAACCATCATCACAGAGACCATCACAACACAAGTCATCACCATCACCACGGACACCACCACAGTCCTCTCTATCATCATGGTGACCACCACAACAAGTCTCATCACCACAGAGACCACAAAGACACATCCTATCACTATTACCATGGAGACCATCATCATGGAGACCACCGTCACCATGGCAGCCATCATAGCCCCTCTCATCATCGTCACCATGAAGACCACCACATCACAACTCCTCGTAAAGGTCACCACACTCCAACACATTACTATGAAGAACATCACAGTTCAGGTCACCGCCGCCATAGCGACCACCCAACCATTGAACGCCCAACTACCCCACGTCACCATGGACGCCAGAGCCTAACCAGTGACACAATTTATCATCACCATGGTGACCACCACAGTGAACCTCATCATCATCATTATCATCATCATAGAGACCACCACAGTGAACCTCATCATCATCATCATCATAGACACCATCACCAAATTCCAGGCCATCACCATCACTATGGAAATAAACACAATGAATCTCAGCAGCATCACCATGGAGACCACCACAGTGAATTGCATCACCATCAACACGGAGAACATCACAATTCAGGCCATCAGCACCACTGTGATGAACACCACAGTGAATCCCATCACCATCACCATGGAGACCACCATAGTCCAAGCCATCAGCACCACCATGATGACCACCACAGTCAAGGCCATCAGCACCAGCACCACCATGGAGACCACCATGGTGAATCGCATCACCATCACCATGGAGACCATCATAGCCCAGGCCATCAGCACCACCATGATGGCCACCACAGTTCAGGCCATCAGCACCACCATGATGGCCACCACAGTTCAGGCCATCAGCATCACCATGGAGACCACCATAGTTCAGCCCATGAACATCAACATGGAGACCACCACAGTACAGGCCATCAGCACCACCATGGAGATCACCACAGTCCAGGCCATCAACATCAACATGAAAACCACCATGGTTCAGGCCATCAGCATCACCATAGTCCAGGCCATCAGCACCACCATGATGACCACCACAGTCCAGGCCATCAGCACCACCATGATGACCATCACAGTACAGGCCATCAGCACCACCATGATGACCACCACAGTCCAGGCCATCAGCATCAACATGAAGACCACCATAGTCCAGGCCATCAGCATCACCATAGTCCAGGCCATCAGCACCACCATGATGACCACCACAGTCCAGGCCATCAGCACCACCATGATGACCACCACAGTCCAGGCCATCAGCACCATCATGGTGACCACCACAGTCCGAGCCATCAACATGGAGATTCACATCACAATCAGCCCCACACCAAAAATAATAATCTTGGCCATGACGGCCACCATGCTGGCAGTCCCCCTTTACCCAAGAAGTTGGAGTCTCTTTCCAGCAAAGCAAATTCTTCCAGGAACACTAGCAGCCCCTCTAGCCAGGATGAGGAACAGACAAGCTTTATTGGCCCATCATCAGATAAAGTATGACATTTCTCTTGGTGTTAAGTCCTATACTTATTTATGAAATCCTCTATTACAGCGTGCCATGAAGTAATTATTGGCAAGTCAATAGCAGCCCACGTTACACATGCTTGATTAACTGGTTATGTAATAATGTTCCACTCATTTGCTTGTCTATTGATTTGGGCAGCAGTGTGCATGTCACAGTGGCCACTAGATTAGTTATTACAGGACAATGGATTGCTCAAACTAATGGTAATTTAATTGACTTTTCCATCGTCTTTATTCTTTTCCATTTTCAGCTTTTTTTCACTTTATTCTTTGGCCTTCTGTAATGGTATTTCTGAATGTCATTTTTCTTTCACATAGGAAAAGCCACATGAACTAGGTAGGATCATGTAAGTATGACATAATTCCTTTTGGATTTTTAATAATCATAGTTCAAGTGGCAACCATGAATGTGACATTATCCATGTTTATTGCACGCTCAAATTATTTTGTATGTGAATATCACAGAAAACACTGACGTTTACAATTTAACAACCAATGTGTAATATAATAGTAAAGTGATCAATGAAAGGAATTCATAGAATGCTCATGTCTTACTCCATTTTATATCTCTTATTTTGTGTATCCACCTGACAGGGTACTACAGGAGCAGAATGAAGGTCTGCATCAAACTTTGCTGAAGACAGCAGTGAGGATGGAGTGTTTAGGAGAGGAATTCATGAGCAATCAAAAGCTTCTGGAGGCAGAGCTTCAGAGGACACGTATGGAGCTTAGCAGCCTCACAGAGAGGTTTGGGAGGTAAAGAACGCATGGATAGACCTTTGTTTTTGTCATCTCAATTTATTTTCTTTGAAGATTTAGTTCATTTGGAGCAAATCTGTAATTTTTCCAGACCATGTGCAAAAGTTGTGGGCAAACCACTTGACTCAGAAAATGAAGCAGCAGACAGAAAAAGATTACATCAAATTCCTTCTTATGTTTCATTAACTTGGCCATTTTATCCGCTAATCCCTTCCCAGACCGGAATAGATATAATCCCTCCAGCATGTTCTGGGTCTACCCTGGGGCCTCCCACCAGTTGGACATGCCTGAAATGCCTTTAACGGGAGGCGCCCATGACACGTTCTTATCATATGCCCAAACCACCTCAACTGGCCCCTTTTGATCTGAAAGAGCAGCGGCTCTACTCTGCACTTCCTCCCGATGTCTGAGCTCTTAACCTTATCTCTAAAGCTGAGCCCAGCCACCCTATGGAGGAAGCTCATTTCAGCTGCTTGTATCTGCAATCTCATTCTTTCGGTTACCACCCAAAGGTCATGATTATAGGTGAGGGTTGGGATGTAGATGGGCAGGTAAATTGAAAGCTTTGCCTTGTGACTCAGCTCCCTTTTTACCCCGACGGTCTGGCGCAGTGCCCACGTTACCTCTGACACCCCACAAACCACATTTCATTTTACCCTCACACGTGAACAAGACCCTAAGATACATGAACTCCTGTGCTTGGGACAACAACTCTCTCTCAACCCAGAGGAGACAGTCCACCATTTTCTGGCAAAGAACCATGGCCTCAGATTTGGAGTTGCTCTCAACCCGACTGCTTCACACTCAGCTGCAAACCCCCCCAGTGCATGCTGGAGGTCACAGTGTGATGAAGCCAATAGGACCACACCATCTGCAAAAAGCAGAGATGCAATTCTGAGGTCACCAAACCAAACCCCTTCTTTCCCCTGTCTGCACCTTGAAATCCTGTCCACGAATATCACAAACAGCATCTGTGACAAGAGACAACCCTGGTGGAGGTCAACACCCACCTAAAATGTGTTTGACTTTATGCCAAGCATGTGGACACAGCTCTCACTTTGGTCATACAAGGATCGGAGGGCTCAGTACCCTCCACAGGACTCCCTGGGGGATGCGGTCGTAAGTTTTCTCCAAGTCCACAAAACACGTTAACTGGATGGGCAAACTCCCAAGACCCCTGCAACAGCCCTGCAAGGGTAAAGAGCTTGTCCACAGATCCATGGCCACGACGGAATTCACATTTCCCCTCCTAAAACCGAGTTCTATTAGCTTGTGCTCTTTAATAGACAGTTTTGGTGTTACACATGTTAAAAAGTTACAATTCCGAAGATATCTGATTTGTTCTCTTTGATGGTACCTATGGGCGTTAGTGGTAAATGCAGGTGTGTTTTTGGATCTCACTTCCAAACAACGCAATGCTAGCAGAGATTGGAAAAAACAGTATACTGCTTCACACCAAAGAGAGATGAACAGTGACTCTGTTGTGCTAGCTCTGCCTTATCTCAAAAGAGATAAGGCAGAGATAACACAGACATCCAGTTCATAATAGTGCAAATGCAAGGGTTTTCGTCAGTGGGTCATAGGCTCAATAACCAGTGTGTTACCTCATTCGGCAATAGATCTTGACTTCACAGACATTTATTTAAATACAAATTTTAAAGATTATTACTTAATTAGGCTGCTGAATCAACTTATTTCTCAATCATGTAACCAAAATCATAAAGTTGGGCTCTGATGAAGTCCTTTTTAAATGTACAATTACTAGGGATATGTAACATAATGGCTACTTGTGGATGTGAAAGAAATTGAATGAAATACACTTAACTGTGATGTATTGTTGTTGTACCTGGGTATATCAAGCTATTCAAGGCTAAATTTGCCCTGATATGTTTTCCTTAGAAATATGCTTTGAAATGAGATTTCACCTCTGTTTTTACTCTGTCTTGTGTTTCAGACCTAAGATGACACCTGCAAATAATGCATAGCTATATTACTGCCTCATACAATGTGCATGTATACTAAAATATATTGTATTATTGTTGAGTAACTTCCCTCTCTCATTTGGGGCCTCATTTCAGATTACATGACAACTGCTCCTCCACACAGCAGACTAATAGTCTTCTAGAGCAAAGGCTTCACTCAGTGGTGAGATTGGAAGCATTTTTTTGTTTCTTGTGATTGAGCCTGAATTTTGTGACATGTAGGAGCCTTCTGCTACTGAATTATTAACATTGACTGAGCGGTAGAAGTTATTAAAACTCCCCCACTTACTGAAAGTTTACCTGTGACACTGTGGTTCCTGTGCTTTCTGTGACAGGCTCAGAGTATGGAAGGAGAACGTGAGAGGTTGAACCGACGTATTTCGGCACTGACGAAGCAGCTTGCTGATGCAAAATACGCCAACAGTGTGGAAACATTCAATGTAAGATCTTTACCTTCCATTCCATTCAGAGGCAGAAGAGGAAAACCAGAAAAGGGCACCCCAACAATGACAAACATTGGCAAAAAATAAACGGACCAAAACATAAAAATGTAATATTGATAAGCCTCTGTAAACTTGCACATGCAGAATTCAGCATTACTATGTTTATATTTATTCTTACACAAACCTGTTTATTCTTTGTCTTTGCATCATTTGATAAATAAACTGATCCCTTACTAACCTCTACTTACTGTAGGTAACATCAGTGCTACACAAAACTGAGCTCCATTTTCAGACAGATGATGCCATGAATCAGGTGGTTCCTCCCATCGCCCCCCCTCCGGCTGAGTTCATGGACAATCATACCTATGAGAAGGCCAAAGCAGGTGGGCAGGAGCAACCTCTGGGGTCAGTCCCAGAGGAGGAGGAGTCTGACTGGTCTGAGCTGGGAGACGAGACCCCACGATTTATACTGACAGGATCAAACAGAGTTCCAGTGTGGAGACACCGGGAAGCAGATGACAAAGACAGTGAGTCAGGGGGTGAGGAGATCCTCAGACGACACTACCCCCGCCCACTGCAGATACCTCATCTCCAATTCACCATGCACAATGAGAATCTGTCTGACGGCACGGCGGGTGAGGACACTTTCAGGATCTCCACAAGTCCAAATCATGGCTCTGCCATCCTGATCCGGTCAGCCAGCCTGGAGGAAATCCCTCTGGCTCGCCATCACATGCAGAAGGAGCTAAGAGGTACAGAGGCCATGATGGACCTCCACCACCAAGGGGGCGAAGCTACTGGGGATTTAGATAATGAGATCATTCATCACTGGAGAACGAACAATGACAGGGATGCAGCTATGGTGAGGCTGAGCAGGACGTCAGAGGCAGATAGCAGCCTGACTGGCCTGCAGTCAGCTGAGCGGATGTTCAACCACTTCATGTGTGGAGCGCAGCCCGCTGAAGGACAGGGTCAGGGCAGGGCTGAGGTGCACAGCTGGACAGGAGGGATTCCAGATGAGTTGTTGAAAGGGGAGCGAACACAGCTGTGACAGAAACATGGATGCACTGTTCGCTGCATCTGAAACTTTAATCTTTATTTATTAGGAAAAGTTAAATGAGCCTCTTCTTCAGCGGCTCAGTGGTTCAGCCCCTCTAATTAACATGTGGCTCGAGGAGACTCAACCTTTGAATTTTCTTTCCCCGTCTTTAATTAACACTCTTCAGACGGCACATTGTTCTCCCTCATTTGTTTCTTAATAAAAATCTACACTTAATTAAATAATCACATTGTATACATTACTTTACACTTTTAACTGCTTAGACATGGTCATTAAATAGTGAAATATGTATTTTTGGTTGTATACATGCAGATATAGGCTTTTCCTCTTCTTATTCTGTTTGCTTTATTGCATGAAACACTATGTATTCATATAAGATGTACTTCTTGTGTAGGTAGCCAAAGTTATGCACCACTGAATGCATTGCTTCATGCTATGTACTACAAGTGTTAATCACTATCTAATAGTCTTACTAGGTATGTATTATATGACATAATGTATACTTACAAATACAGTTGTGGAATAGTTTAAAATATGTGTATGTGCAAAAAAATGTCCTGTCTTTGTGCAAAATATTTATTTCCTGTGGTTATAATAATTAAACGACAGAAAGAAAAGCTTGCAATTGAACACATTTCACAAGCTTGTGTAAATGTCATCCATGTAACTCTGTCCATGTAACATCTAATAAACCAAATGTAACAATGAAACAAATTTAACGGTCTGCATTTGTTTTATTTCTGATCAGCTTTCTCTCAAAAGGACTAAATGAAGATTTAAGTGTTACCTAGGAAATGTTCTGGAAAGTTTAAGTTAAATCTAGATTAAGGAATAGCATGACAGGTAAGGGACATTATTGTAAAGGGGAGGAAATATTTTGCTAAACAAAATGTGGCAGGTGTTTCTCAGAGTCTGTGCAGTCTGAGCCCATCTCCTTGAAGGTCATTGAGATTGCAGCTGGTAGGATGTCAGGATTTTTACAGCCTCTGGACTGGCTTTTATACAGGCTGCAGAGCGGTTTTACAGTTACTCAGGGGGTCACGAGAGTTGGATTCTCTTTTATGCATGTGTTTTACCTAATTGCACAATCAACAAGAACATCGCAAGCAACTATTACTATCAAAATATAGCCATTTTTAATGTACTTGTCAGTCAGTATTCAAACCAAAAACTGTGCCCCTGCGACAGTTTATGTATCCACACTGAGAGTATGCTTTTAGCCACGTTAGCTGTATTGGCTGTATGGATGGCAGTTTCAGTGTGACAGTTTGATGATCGGTCAGCTGGTTTGTTCCACACTGAAATATCTCAATGACTACTGGATGATGAAATGCCATGAAATGTTGCACAGGAATTCACAGGATGAATCTAATTACTGTTGGTGATCGCCTGACTTTTCCAGGGGTTTTTATCCAGGAGCTTTAGCCACTTTCTTTGGGGCTGCTGCAGGTAGCGGAGATTGAAATGTGTCAGCACTGATGAAAGTTAAGGACTGTTTGACCATTTTTTGCACTTTGAGCACCCTTCTTTTTGAGCACAGATGTCTTAAATAAATTGACTTTTTTTTGCATTGGGCTCAGGTTGTGAACGTTTTTGTGGCTGTCCAGTCCAGTTGCATTGGTGTGCGGGTATCTCCTCTGCCGTCCTTTCTTGGTTGTCCATTGTACCAACCCATCTAAGATAAACTTTTTGTTGCTGTAAGTAAGCGCAGTTTCACAACAGCCCTAAGACTAAGACTGAAATGTCTCAGTAACTATATTGGATGATTTGCCATGACATTTGAAACATACATTTACGTGCATCTCAGGATGAATTCTTAGAACTTTGGTGATCTGCTAACATTTTATCATCAGGTCAAAATACTGGTTTGTAGTTTATGACCAAATACCTGCAAAACTAATGGCATTCCCACTGGCCTCAGCTGTACTTTGTGTTTATCAACTGATGTTCATGTTCATAGTCACATTTAATGGCACTGTCCTGGCAGGAAAAACAGAGACAGGTTGCTAAAAAACACCACATTGAGTGGCTAAAAAGCTGCTGGAAGATGCAGCAATACATTGCTATGAAACCAACAATTTTGCTGTTTGTTGGTCTCGAGCAGTGGTTTGCAGTTGTCTGCAGCTTGCCAGGTGTCTCACCCAGTGGCATATAGTAGTTAGGATGGGCCCAGTGCACGCTATTACGATGGGCCTTGATGCCAGATTTTGTGTCGAAACAGCTATCGTAAACTTTATAGTATCTAGTATAAAATGCCAAATAAAATAGGTAATTACTCATTAAATGGATTTTTTAAAATACTTAATTTACAGTTTATATTTTTATGTAAAATGAACATATGATTTTTTTTATAGTTTGCTACTGACTATTTTACAAAACAAAAATAACAGAAAGTCTGATGGAGATTGGTTTGCCTTCTCAAGGACATGAATAGCAGATGACAGATTTATATTGTAAGGTGTGTTCTTTAAACACGGGCATATTTCTGAGATCGCCTGTTGAATCACTCGCAAGGACCCATTCTCTGCTCTAGAGAGAGCGGACCCTCCAACCGCTCTCTCCACGGGCCCCCCCCACCCCATGGGTCCCAGTGTCTATATTTACCCCCCTGGTTTCATCTATAGGTGCCAAACCATCTACCATCAAAGTCAGCTCATATATTATGCCACTTTAGAGGTATAAAATGTACAAATATACAGTATTGTGTATTTGTGGTTTGCAGAAACGTACAATGTCGACATTTTCTTCTGGTGACTGGGCCAATTCTGATGTGCATTTGAATGGTGATGTGACCCTGAAACTGAGGTAAAAAAGTGAAATAACCACATAACCCGTGAATATGAATGTGAGGTGAACTGAAAAAAGTGATTGGAATAAGCAAAGTGAACATGATTTCCACCTCTACTCACAGTGCTCCAGGGTCAAATACAGGACACGGACTCTCCCAACCTGTCCTGTTGTGACTCTGACCTGGATAAGCAGGGTGAATACGAAATGAAGAATCCTCTACCTGGTTGTGGTACATATAAAAACCCAAGGTAGTAGCACCAGTTTCAGGGTGGCAAATAGAGCCTCCTCCTCGTGCTGTTTTGATTCTGCCTGAAACTTTCTTAAATCCTGCTGACAACCCAACCTGATGATGATCAGCACAGGACTACCAAAGAGAGAGCCATATTTATCCCTCTGAGCTCCTCACAGGTGCAATAAGATAAACAACATTTACTCACCTGTCACATACTCATCCTCAAGAGGAACTTTTCATCAATGTGAATTTATTTCTCTGACTGTATACACTAATGTTTTTCCTTTTCATGCTTCCGATTAAAATTCACACGTAATGATAATAAGCAGAGATGGGAAATCAAAATGTTTGAAAAGAAGTGTTATTATTGAATATAAATCAAAATTCTTTATTTCTTTAAATATTATTTTTTCCCAAGTTGAATTTTCTTTTAACGTCACATATATTCCTCTTTATGTGCGCACTCAAAGTTGTGTCCAGAGGATACCTGTTACACAGTTAATGTCTTATAATATCCATCTCCCCTGTCAGGCTTAATTTGTTTTGTCATCCGTGTCCCTCTGTGTGAGTGGTGGATGCTGAGCAGACAATGGCCTGGATTCACAGACCACTTTAATAGGATAGGTAGGCATTAGTATTAAGACGCTCCTGCATTCAGGTTTGCCAAATCCAGTGTGCCAAATCCACTGCGTGGCACACTGGACGGTGCATAGTGGTCGGTGGAGATAACTGGACTTTTTTCAGCACTTTTTGGGAAGACAAATAAGGTGAACTTTGATGCACTAACATTTGTTTTATTGGAGATGCACCACTTGTGAAGTTGTAAAACTTTGTTCTTCAAGGATTTTGCTGCAGCTTCTTTTGACCTTTTTTCATTTTTTCAAATCTATCATCAGTGTGTAATTATGCTTTCTCTGTTGCTACTGGTTTATTTTTCCACTTTAGGGTTGAATTTCCATTTTGTCCTCTTCATATCTGAGTCCTGCCTCTGACCTCTCCTTCTCCCTCGCAGACATAGCAGCACAGCATCGGCCCTCGTTGGCTCGTCGCTCTCCTTCCCCTATTCCCTGCGGTGAGACTGGGATTCCCTCGCTGCAACCATGGTGGTGATGAAGATGAAGTTCCCCTTTCAGAAAAGGGTGAAGCTAGCCCAGGGACTGTGGCTCCTCTCCTGGTGTGCCACAGTGGCCGGGGCTATCACCTTCACCCTGGGCTGCATCCTCAAGACGGAGCTCCGCAGGAGGGCAGAGGTATTCCAGACTTTGTTTCTGACTCTTTTTTTTAACTTGCAAGTTACCAACAGATTACAATTAATAGTGTAATACTTTACAATATAGCTGCAAGAGTGAGTGACATGTAATTATGTTTCTCAGTGTAACTACATAGTGGTGTGAATAGTCTAACTGTGGTCATACTGAGAAGAAAATCAGTTCACCTAGTGGCCTTTTGTGACAGAGAAAACAGGTAAAACATAAACTGCCAATCATGATGCAGTCCAGTAGACTGAGGAACAGCATTTTTGGAAGTTGTAAGGTGATACAGCTGATTACACACTTGTGTTCAGCCGTCTGTCTTACTTTTAAACTGTCGTCATTTTGGGAGAAAACATAAAAATGGGTCTTGAAAAGATGAATAAAAGGTGATTCTGATACAAAATGTCCTTGTTGTAGACCAGCAGCAGGTAAATACACCTGTGACCCACTTTGAATCTTGACTCATCATTTGATAAACCAGGCTCTGTCAGTCTTAATCACCATAATCCCTTCATCTGAAGGCCATCATCACAACTTTGCATTGAAAACAAACCTATGTAGTTTTATATGGATGTATTTCATTCCCACATTTAAATAGCTGCAGCCTCAAAAAGATCATGTTTGCACAACTATGGTGTTACAGCTATTTTAGTGTTATCAACATGATTTTGAATATTTTTAAATGTACCTAAATACAGAATTTTGTTTGACCTGTTTGGGTTGTTTCATCCTTTGACAGCTGAGGTTATGGCAATATTCTGTTTGCATGACTGTAAAAAGTGTAAATGGACATGTATATATTTTGGAAAAAAGAAATGAAAGACACACACCATAAGTGAATAAATAAATTACAGAATTGATGAGACTTAGACTTAGAAAAATGTGATTTGATGAAAATGATTTACATCTATACGCCAACCAGACTCAATGTGGGTGTCCTCCATCCAACAAAATGCAAGTGGCCTTTCAAAGCTCCATTTAACTAAAATAAACCACTTGAGAGGTCACTTTGTACAATAAGTTTCAGAGATGTGGCTTGTGTCAAGATTTTCTGCAAAAACCAGTGGAATTTAGAAGACTTAAAAGACTTTTGCACACAATACAGAGCGTGAAACTCTACAGCCTTACATGGCAATACCACATTTCACAAGGGACATGTGTTTTAGTTCATGCACTTTTTGAACAGTGTGAGTTTGAAGTAAAGTAAAATCTAGACTGAGCAATTGAATGACATGTGCAGCTACAGTTCGTGCACTGTAGGTGCCCTTGAGCAACACAGCTGAGCCTCAGCTGCTTGGCGTGAGCTGCTCAACGCTCATTAAACTCTGATTAAACTGAGAGGCTCTTAATCATTCATATTTGTGGCTGACTGTCATGCTGCAGATGAAAATTAGTACGCATGCTTTTTAGGAGTCCTCCCCTTTATAAATAAGGGTTGAACTCTTTTGAACCTGTGAGGGTTCTTCAACAAATGTCATGTGATCAAGTTGAACAAACCCAAAGAAACTTAAACTTTTGATTCAAGATTGTAAAGTCAGACTGAATTTGTTAAATATAATAAAATGGGGCACAGTGCATCTATAATTTACACCTATATATCTATAGCTGCAGCCAGGTTTGCATATTTACTCATTACCAGAATCATGTAGTTTCTTTATGAGAATAAGCTGTTTAAAGGAACAGTGTGAATGATTTGGGGTGATTTGGTGGCATCTAGTGGTGAGGATTGCAGATTGCAGCCCACTGAGACTTCTGGTTAGAATCCCTTCCGTGTTTATTGTTCTCTTCCTCTCCAAAACAAATGTGCCAGGTGATTTAAACCGGTAAAAACACAGAATAAAAGTTTCACGTTACAAATCAGTGTTTCTCCGATGCAATTTGGCATGTCAGAGACGGGCCGCTAGCCTAGCACCTGCTAATGTGTCCTCACCTATTGTCTCTAATAACTGAATGAGTGCCTCTGATCCAGACGTTCAGGAAGTTTTTACCCGGAGCCACATAATCCGCAGAGGTCTCTTTCTCTCCAGAACAAACAGACCAGGTGATTAAAACCAGCTAACACTGAATAAAGCAGTTTCAAATTAAATAAATCAGTATTTTTCTGAGGTGCTCATCGCTGAGGGGCTGCTAACTACGGTGGCCGAGGCAAAAATAAGAATGTCTCTATCTAGAGCAAGCATTTGGTTTGTCTTTTCTGGGCTACTTTAGAAACGCGGTAATCTCTGTAGACAAGATCGGGACAATACTCCAGTTTGAATTTTGAATATTGCCACATATTGGGACGTATCGGGCAAGATGCCCTTCTTAAGCATGTATTCTGGCAATATCACAAAAAATTTACACAGATGAAGTTAATTATACGTGACCACGAACAACATAATGTGAATGGCTCATTCCAAGGTAATAAAAACACAACAATGTATATTTTCAGGTGATTAAACACTAATCAAAAACATACTTGTTCACTTTCTATTTCTGCCAATATATCCCTTTAAATCCTACACACTGGACCTTTAATAACTGGAATATATTTGCTTATTAGTGGGTGTTTGTAAATTGACGTTAAGACATACTTTCCAGGTTTTTACCAGATATGTTCTGATGCATGTTTCCCTTGTTTCCTTCCAGCAAACAAATAATAATGACATTATTGTGTGACTTGCTTCCAGGTAATGGATAACTCGGACATACATGTTGTGCCCAACACCCTCATGATCGTTGGTCTGGCCTCGTTGGGTATCAACTACTTTGCGTCAAAGATCTGTCAGGATGCTCTGGATGCCGGTCGATTTCCCCGCTGGAAGAACATGTTGAAGCCCTATTTTGCTGTCTCTTGTTTCTTCACTGTCCTCATGCTGCTGGCTGTCATCATGAGCTATGCAATGAAGGGCAGTCTGGAGTCTTCTCTGAAGGCCGGCCTGAGGAACGGCATCCGCTTCTACAAGGACACCGACACCCCGGGCCGCTGCTTCCAGAAACAGAACATCGATCGCCTGCAGATGGAGTTTCAGTGTTGTGGAAACAATGACTTCAGGGACTGGTTTGAGGTCCAGTGGATCAGCAACCGCTACCTTGACTTCAGCACTAAGGAAGTGAAAGAGTAAGTTGCGGACAGTATGATACATAATTGGGCGGTGGGTTTCCCATCCCATTACAGGAACATATATGTAATCATACCTTTCTCTTGTTTCCTTAGCCGCATCAAGAGCAACGTGGATGGCCGTTACTTGGTAGATGGAGTCCCATTCAGTTGCTGCAACCCCAGCTCTCCACGGCCATGCATCCAGTATCAGCTCACCAACAACTCAGCTCACTATAACTATGATTACCAAACCGAGGAGCTCAACATCTACCTCCGAGGCTGCAGAGAGGCCCTGGTCAACTACTACATGGGCCTGATGAACACCATTGGGGCTGGAGTACTGTCAGTCTTCCTCTTACAGGTATATTATGAGGAGGTTTACAGGGACTGTGATTTCAGGCAGAGATTCATTTTTAATTTGGAGGTATAACAGTGAGTGGTAGAGCTGCCAAGGCTGTATAAAAGCACACTTTCACATTGTGTTATGTCTTTACACATGCAGGAAAAATTCTGCTGCAGCAACTCACCATTTTGTATAAAATGTAAGCAGCATACACAAGGCTAGATGCATTTTTTTCTGCTGAATAATTTAAAGATTTCTTTTATGAGCATCTTGACTCTGATTGAAAGTGAACATCACATGATTCCTCATTCATTTACAGAGTCTCATGTGCACAATTAATGCAATTTTCTATCAATCACCACTTACATCTGCCCTACATTTAACCCGCTCCACTCATTATCTCCCCCCTTCCTTCCTCCCAGGGCTCTGTGCTGGTGAGCTTGCGCTTCCTGCAGACCGCCATGGATGCAGTGGCAGGGAATGAAAACACAGAGATTGAGACAGAAGGGTACTTGCTGGAGAAATCAGTGAAAGACACCGTCATGGAGTACATCGGACCCATGTTGAAGTTCCTCCTGCTTACGAACCAGGTGGAGGAAGGCGCTGCTGCTGAAGGCGCAGCTCCAGCAGCTAAATAAACCATAAATGATGTACACACATGTAAATAATTTTTACACAGAGAAGGCAACTAATGAATGATAATTGATTATTTAAATCTGAAAACAGAATATGAATTTCACAGATATAGGGATAGTATTTTTTATTGTCCGATGACCGTCACAGAATAAGTAAATGTTTATTACATTACTGTACTTTCCCATTTAAATTCCATATGGTGAATTGATACCCCCTTTGTTAAACACACACTGTATCAAGGGTGTAGGTTTCGCTTCCGTTGTTATCGTGCACTGTTTGTATGGTTACCTGCGAAAAGTAATGCACCAGAATTCGTATATAATCCACCTAATTGTGAAGGAGGCTAGTGACAAATGCGCTAACGGGAGTAAAGAAGGAAATAGAATAAAAAGCGAAAATCTGCATAAGGATGCAGGTTGGGGTTGTGGATGGATCAAACAAACATAGGTCTTTCCCCCAGGACACTGGTGTTTGTGTCCCTTGTAAAATGAAGTGAACTTTGAGTTATTTTAAGGTACGACGTCATGATACGTTAAACACGTAACTTTTAAGGCACCCAACTGTATTTCTTTTCCTAACCTACGTAACTTTAAGTACGTAATATGACATCACCCAATCATAACTTTTTTCCTAAACTTAACCAAACCGATAATTCAGTAGGATATCATACGAACAGTACCAAAAGTTGGTTGTCCCCCATCTGAAAAGTTTTAGCATCAAACACTGAATTTTCTACATTTGCATCAATTTGTGATATAAATGTCTTTAATTTTGTCAAAGTCCTCTGCTACTTTCATGTTTTTATTTGGGGGGACAAATGCACATGTTCTGAATATTGAGGAAAACATGTCCCCTGCGCCCCCTCAACCCCCCACCCCCTTAATATATGCCTATGTACTGTATAACATCAGAAAACATACTCACCCACATAAGTTATTGTAAACACATGATTTCAACTAAATTTGATTTTTAAAATTATTTCTCTGCTTTGTTTTTTGGTTTTGATGATAAGTCCTTTATTGTTATATTTGTTTACAGCTCCACAAATACACAGAGTCACCTCACTGCTTTCTTTGGCTTTTGAATGTGATGTGCATCGTTAATTGCATCCTCAAGAGTCTGTATCCAAAGCAGTAAAACACAAAAAATATTTTCAGTCTTATAAAACAAGGCTATGAAGCTGACTGTAGAATGAAATGAGGCACAATGCACTGCTCTGCAACAGGACTACCACATAATATAACAGAAGCAGGGGCTTCTGGCAAATGTTTGGGGCCCCACGGAAAAAACATTTGGGGGAAAGGAGCCTCTGATGGCCACTCATTTTGGCACATTTTACAATCCTAAAGCTTTGACCTCCCTTAAACCTCATAAAGGCACTATACAATGCACCGCCACTGCACCAAAACCCCCCTCGGGCCCCTTCTAGCTACCGTATGACAGCTGGATACCGATAGTTAGGACAGGGCCTCCTTTGCCTGGGGCCCCCCAGAGGCAAGGATCATCACTAAACAAAAGTCTTATTAAAGTTTGAGGTCCCTAATTGCCTTATGGAGTGGAGTCACTTATTGCTTCTATTTTTTGTTAGACATTATCATACTTCACCTGTCAGATGTCACCGTCACTAACAGGTACTCTGAGTCGCTAATAGCTCCCTGCCTCTCTTGTCCCCATCAGTGAAAGGAATACAAAAGGATTATGAAGATAATCAATGTCAGTAATGCAGTGAAAGCCATTGAGTGTGTCCTCTGTTCTGACACCTTTGTTAAAGCTTTTAATCCCATTTGTTAATACTCAACCTGCTGCCCTTGCAGTTAGACACCTGCGTCAGGTGAATGTAAGATGCAAAGTGAACTATGAGCCAAAGCTTTGTTTGCTTATGGAAATTAAGTACTGGAAAACATATATATATATAATACTGGGATATCATTTTTCAAATTCAGATGAAGAATTTGTGTTCTTTCCCCATGTCTCCAGGCAGTTCAGTAAATATAAAAGGGAATTATCATACACTTTCTTTGTTTCTTTCTAAAAACACAGTATTGGTTACCCTGAAATCTATTTCAACCCATGTGAATAGCTTTATTAAAGGTCCTTTTAAAAACATCTCTGTGTCTTGAGTGATTATCAGGGGATAGGCGGACTGCTTCTGACTCAAAACAAGTAGTACACCATATTTAGGTCTTAAATTACCAGTCAAGATCTCAGAGGCTTCCCATGTATTCTCACTGCAAATTCTCTAATCTGTATATCTCAATAGCACCTCAATTCACTGGTCTATATATAACTAATTATTTGTGCATTGTCTTGTTGTTGTACTATCTACTGTCATCACTGGATGTCCATTATTATTACAGTTGTTATAAACCTGTCAATAATCAGAATAACAGAAAAACAAAAATGCTAATAGGGAACAACAACACCTAGTCCACTGGCTTCAAACATTACTTGGACTGAGGCGTATTACAGTCATATCCTCCTGAGACCCTGTGTCCTCATATGAGGACATCACATCTTGGGTTTACATGACCTTATAATTTATTCTGTTCAACTCAGATCTGTTGTCCTTGTTCGTGGACACTTTTTTTTGTGCCATCTAGTGGTAGTAAGACCACAATACGCTCATCCATGTAAAAACAAGATGGCAGCCTGCAGCTGATCCTGATACAAATGTGGACAAGGTCCAAAACCTGATCACATTTTATGGTTGAAACTTGTTTATTTATAATCAATAATGTTTATAGTTTGATATGGCAACAACTTTAACCAATTTTAGCAACAGTAACTAGTAAAGACACTGTTAACTAGGAAGTACTCCTGTGAAGATATTGGGACTTTGTTATCATTGACAGTATTTAGTTTTTTATACTTATCAGGTCCCACTGATCCCAAATAGCTAGGGGAATTTAAAAATGCAAACATACATTTGGATCTTAGGAGGATTTAGTAAAGGCATTGGGGAGCATATAGGCTTATTCCAAGGTGAAGTTGATATTAAATTAATAACTGACATCAGTGTGTCAGCAACAACCAAGGCAGCAGCTATAATATTAATCTTTATTAAATTTATGTATTTAATTAAACAAAAGAACATGACACACATTCAGTGTACAGGGGACGATATAGATATAGAACAGCAAAAACAGAGCCTAGGGTATATCACACTAGATAAAAATATTAGAAAACATACAGCCTTTACAGCCATAGAGGGAAAACACAAAATTGACTTTCAATTTCAACTTCAACTTTATTTGAAGTCTTTATTGTCCCTGGAGGACAATTACACAGCAAGTAAAAACACATAAAGGGCAGGAGGGAACACATGAGAATGTACATACACAACAATCGGGGCAACGGGGGGCAGCATGCCAAATACAGTGAGGTGAAACAACAGTAGACACTGGAATACAGCATTGCAATGTAAAGAAAATTGATTGTGTAAACGTAATGATTAGCAGCATCTGAAGTACAGTTGCTAAATTTACTTTTAAGAATACATTTTTCCAACATCATTATCAAATGCAATATCAAAAAAATATTTGTCTTCTATCTTGGGTTTTGGAGAAACCAAAGACCACATTTTCCCATATTACTGTAAAGTAAGTGAAGATAGGATCAATGACAAATCTGCAAAGGTTTTGGTGTGCGAACATTGCCAGATATCATAAAACTTCAATTAAAAGCCTAGACCCAATGAAACGCCCGGTCTCACTTAGACCTCTGGTCTGGTTTCCAAGCAGTTCATTTTGATACAAGTTCTTTGGATATATAAAACCGGGTTGTTGGCTACCATTGGTTAGCTATTTGGATCGCACATACAGATATAAATGTTTTAAACTTTTGTCAACATGGACATGCTACACATTGTTAGCTAGGTTGATTTCATTTTACTGAAACCATGAGCACCAGAGAAGACCATAAGTCACTGAGATTTACCTGCATGATGAAAAACAAGTGGTGACTCCTTGGCTGTCATAAAGTCTTTTAAAGTTTTTTTTTATAAAATTCCAAGTTATGAATATTGTTTTAACAGGATAAAGAGGTGTTGTGTCGGTATGCCGAGTGCTGTTATCGTCAGGTGCCGAGAAACAAGCCTGGTCTCACTCCGATGTCGTTGAAATCTGTCACTTTGGCAGTGACTTGTGGTGTCGGAAATCCAGCAAAAAAAGGTGTCCTTTAACATCAGCATGATACGTGGCCGTTTGCGATACAGTCTAACAGCACCCGGGGAGAAGTGCGGCGGGACAAGGACGAAAATTAAGGCGGCAAAAGTCTGAGTGGGGCGGGAAGGCAGGGGTAGTGAATGGGCCCAACACTGACCTTCAGTATTCGCAGAGTTCACTTCCCGTAAGATTCTATAGCCAAACCCTGTTCTTTTTTCCTAAACCCAACCATGTGTGTTTGTTGTTGAATCATAAAAAAGTCAATTTGTGGTGTTGTACTGACGTAGTGCATTTATTTTGAAAGAGACTGTCAGTAAACATTAAATTTCCTGTGAAAACAGAAGTGTATTTTGAAAAAAGACAATGCATGTAACAGGCAGAACTTGACACGGTGTCCCAAAACATCAACAGCAAACGCACCCAGGGTACCTTTCATGTTGTATATGGACGTGGAAAGCCCATGATCAACATCAATACGTGACGAGGCTGGAGTGAGAATGTGTTGGAGCAACTAGTGTCATTAACATTTATACAAGTAACATTCATACTGGTTTAAATGAACAATTTGGTCATATTACCCATCTTTGCTGAGCAACAGTTTTGTGTGAACTGATTTAAAAGCCTGTCTTGTATAGACGCCTGTCCCAAATATACAAGAGGAGGTCAGTGATTTAAGACAATAATAGCCCAGGCTATAAAGTTTTATGGTAGGGGTAAATTGTTTTTGAATAGTCATCATGGAAAGCTCAGTTCGTGTTTGTGCCTTTTTTATGTCTGCATGTAGTGACTGGCAAAGTGGCCTCATATTTATAAATATTTTTGAATGACATTAGGTTTTTATGAAGAACCATTTAGACACTCACTCACAAACCAATTCCAACAGTCCTGTGTCATGACACGTGAAATAGAGACAGCATCTCTTTAAAACATGGCACGTCTGGCTCTGTTATTATTTTGGGGATGCAGTGGGAAACATATTTTCCTACTGGGGAGTCAGCTGGGTCAAAATAAAATTAATCTGCCTGCGTAAATACAGACGCGATGACGTTGTTATTACGTGACGGGACGACGGCGCGCTCTCTGATATTCCATTCACTCTCGGGATCCGGCCATTTTGAACCACACTCTCATAAACGGCGTTCAAAACGTACATAATCTGTCAGTTAAGTTATTTGAAATTATCTCCTGACGAACGCTTTATGATATTTGGTTTTAGCTAGTTTAATGGCTATCTCATTCATAAGTACCTCAGTTAAAGAGGTGTTTCAAATCTTTCAGAGTGACTGTCACGCCCAGTAAGGAGCCGTTCAGAGTAAACGAATCATTTACCAGTCACGTACTCCTCTAACTGTTGCAGCTGCCCGGAAAGCTAGTTTTAGACAACTGGCTAGCCGTAGCTGGTTGGACAACAGCGAATCGCTTTATCAGCTTTTGTATTCAGCTACAGTATTTACAAAAAATACCATCCAGTGCATAAACAGCAAGTGGAGGGAAATTTACCAAACCTGAGAGGTAGGTGGACAACAGAGACATTATGTGTCTTCACTTGCTATTAGCAGTATGTCACACTGTTGGGCAAAATACCAACAGGGAGCTAACTAACAACTAAAGTGACAAAATCGTCATCAACTGATGACTGAACGCTATTGTTATA